CTTAAAGATTCTAAAGAAGAAAAGCAAATTATCGATTATAGTAAACGATTATTGAGCAAAACATATTTATATTATTTATATATTATATTATTTAGTTTATTTCAAAACTTAAAAGTTTAAATTTGACTTAAAACCTAAACATTTAGTGAGGACAGTGCACACACATTTATACATACATATACACTTTATTTCTTTTATACAAGTTAAACTTTTACACTGCTGGGACTGGGGATAAGGAGGGTTTACTGCAGGTAATAATATATATGTGTGTTTGTATATAAATGTTTATATCTATATCTATATATATATATAATTGATTCTATCTTTCAGATACATCTTGTTGAATTTGTGACTCTGACTATAAAGTTAATTTAGTTCAGATGTTTCAGGTCACCAGGCGACACTTTGACTTTAAGCTCATTTCAGACTGAACGAGGTCCTTCGTGCAGAAATTAAATTAAAGGGTCAGTCAGGAACTTTCACAGCTTGTTTCAACCAATAGGAGGCCAACAGGAAGTGACCTCCGCCTACTAAAATAATCAATAAAGAGATCAAACTCAGAAAGTGAAGCTTCCTCTCGTCTGATTGGTTCAGGTGGCGGAGTTCGGCAAACCGTCCGAGCTGCTGGCCAATGAGAACTCTCGGCTGTGCTCCATGCTGGCCGCCGTGGAGAACAAGATCTCAGTGCGAGGATGAGGAGGAGAAGGAGAGGGAGGATGAAAACGAGGAGGAGGAAGAGGATGAAGAGATCAGCTGCACTGACGGTGCTGTAACTGTATATTCTCTGTTATTGATCATCGATCATCTGTTTGATGTGAACGCCTGCTGATGAGCTGGCAGCGTGTGATTGGACGCCTGCAGCAGCTCGACTGAGTCCTTTGAGTTATTGATAATCGATCATCAGACACATATTTATAATGTGATCAGTAAACGTTAGAACGTTGTTCTCTCGTGGTTTGATAACGACTCGCTGCCTTTTATTGTATTTCTGCCTTTAATGAACGAGCACACGGGGAGATTAAATATGGAGCCAAGGATGCAGAGACACTGTTGTACCCACCAGGACCTGACCTCTGACCTCTGACCTCTTTATTAACAGTATATTAATGTAAACACTGCAAATAACAGCACAAGAGTATAAAATACAAAACCACAAATAAAACATTTGAACTGTAAAAGGTGAATAAACAGATTGAAGTAATCAATAACATCGACTGTAATATTGACTGGTTTCCAGCTGCTCTTGTTTTTGGTTATTTTCTTTTATTTGTTATTTTTCATATTGGGTTATGTAAGCTCTACATGACCTCCGCCCTCTGACCTCTGACCTCCAAAGCCTCCTGGACTGGAAGACCAACGCTCTAAAACAAAATAACAGAATGTAAATAAAATCTCCTCAGAGGTATTTGGTGATAATATGAACGTCAGTGTGTCTGTTTGATTGATCCAACCTGATCAATCAATAATATGTTTACCTGTAAACAGGTTGTTTACCTGTAAACAGCTGATCCAGCACCAGTTCATGTGCATAAAGGATGTAAATAAAGTGAAAGCAATACAAGAGTTATTGAGGTGCACTGATTGGCAGTAACTGATTGATTGATTGATTGATTGATTGATTGATTGATTGATTGATTGATTGATTAGTGGAACCTCAGGTGAGTCCTGCAGGTATGTAAATCTTTCTTCTTCTTCTTTTTGTTTGTTTTTGTGATGTTCAGACTGTTTCCTGTTTGTGTCGGTGGACGGACGGACTTCCTGTTTGTCCTCAGAGGAAGTTGTCATCTTAAACCTTCAAAATAAAAACCTGGTAGTTAAAGAGAAAGGTTTTCTTGTAAAGAGGAAGTGAAAGTGTCTCTGCTGTGTTTTTCTAACAGCCTTAAAGCATGACGTCATTACTGCCTTTCCATTGTCAATAAAGTTATTTTAAGATGAAATGTGTTCGTTCCTGATGTCACTGCTCGCTGTCCAAGTATGTATGTGTATTAATAACAATAACAACAATAATAACAACAGAGATCTCTGCAGTGTGAACGTTAATATTTAAATATTGTGACTGAGGTCCTTTATTGATCTGTAATTAATTAAAGCTAATGAAAGAATCAATCAGCTTGTTTCTGACCTCAGATTTATTTTTATTTATTTTTATTTACTTTTATATTTTCTATTTGAATCTGGACTCACTGGGTCTTATTTTATGTTCTTTATTAAGTTACTACTTTATAAAAAAGAAAGATTATGACATCACTATTATTAACAATATTAGCAATAAAACAATATAGTAAAGTTTATCACTAACGTTCATAGAACATAAAATCTATTGTTATTAAAACTGAATGATTATTGATTGGTTGTTGTTACCTCCCGAAAGAAATACAAACATATTATTATTGAGTTTAATTAAATTATTATTATTATATAATATTATTATTGAGTTTAATTATTACATTATTATTATTATATAATATTATTATTGAGTTTAATTAAATTATTATTATTATATAATATTAT